GATTTCAACGCCATTTTTTTTTTATTTTTTGTTAGTTTAGCCAATTTATCAGAAAAGGCAAAACCCTTATTGTCCTCTAAATTTAAAATTTCTTCTTTGGGATTGAATTTGGGATGGAAAAAGTGAATCACTAAATCAATCAAATTCCTGGAGGCTTCGTGAAGTGCTTCTTCAGGAGTTAAACTTCCATTTGTCCATATTTCAAGAAATAGTACCTCTTTGTTACCATTTTCATAAGAATGAATGYTATGATTCACATTTTGAATAGGCATGAATACAGGATCTATAGGATAACTTCCATCTTGAAAGGTATTTGGCGTTTTTATAAAATATCCGCTATTMTTCTCTATTTGTAATCCAATAACCAACTCAACGGGTTCCGTCAAGTTAGCTATATGTTGTGTATTATCGACGATTTCTACATAAGACGGTAAGATGATATCTTGAGCAGTTACATATCCAGGGCCCCTGACACAAATAGATGCCTCACAAGTTCGATTTCGATAGAGATTACTTCTCAATACGATTTCTTTCAAATTCAKTAAAATTTCATGTACTGATTCTTGAATACCCATTATGGTAGAATATTCGTGTGATATTTTCTCAGATTTTGCACGTGTGATACATGTTCCTTCTATTTCTCCAAGCAAAGCTCTTCGCATCGCAATGCCTATTGTGTCTGCTTGACCTTTTCTAAGCGGAGCCAGAATAAAGCGCCCATAAAAAAGACACTTACTGACTACTGYTGATTCAACACACTGCCACTGTACTGTCCGAGTAGATATTGTTATTGTCTCTCGAACCATAATAATATTATTTGATCAGATCATTGAATCATTTATTTCTTTTGTTTCTCTTGCTATTGAAATATCCTCAATTTTTATTTCTACACACGTCTTTTTTTCAGGGGTCTACAGCCATTATGTGGCATAAGGGTTACATCATGTACGAAAGTTAATAGTATATATATATATATATATATATATATATATGTGTGTGTGTGTGTGTGTGTGTGTGTGTGGAGGTTCAAACGAGAATATCTCCATTTTACGAAAATGCGAGAACACTCTTATCACATGTGATAATACGCGTGAGAAGACCCTGTGATATGCGGACGACGTGTTTACGACTTAGGTCGCGCCAAAGATTGTCTGTGTCTATGATTTAGCATCACATGTGATGGTTTTAATGGATTAGAGTATCATATCAACAACACTTTATCACATATGATAATACTTGTGAGGGGACTTAGTGGTGTAAGGGCGACTTGACCCACAACCAAGATCGCATCGAAAATCGTTCACGTCTCTGATTTAGTATCACATGTGTTTCATATATGATGGAATAATAGTATCACATGTGATTGTCTACGGTAAAAAAGTGTTTTCACGTTCTCGTAAAATGAAGATATTCTCGATTGAATAGATGAATGGTTATTAGTGTGTTTCTCAATTTTTCTTACTTTTTCTATTCAAATTATAAATCCTTAAATATACATTTTTAAACAATAAATCATTAAAATGGCAACCAAAACGAAACTATTTTTTCTTAAATGTAGAAATATGTTCGCAAATTTCAAATTGATTTATTTATTTGTAAATAGAATTTATCATATTTTTGGAACAAAAAATATATAATTAAATCTTATATTCATTTAATTATTTTTTATTAAAAAATATTTTATTCATAGAAAGAAAAAAGGAAAGATTGCTACATGTATATAACAACCATCTTCGAATACTTGATTCATCGGAAAAACAAGTAGCCATGGGAGTGACCACCTTCTCCGACGACTTCGCCACCCCGATTCTGGCACGGAGGCTGTTCAAGGCCTTGATTCTCGACGCCCATAACCTTTTTCCAAAGATCACGCCCCTCGGTATCAAAAGCATCGACACCATCCAAGGCGACGGAGGCCCCGGAAGCATTTCGCAGATCAACTTCGTACAAGGCTAGTAATTTCCATCTTTAATTTCCCTTTGCATACTTGTCGCTTTATTTTCGTGACGGTTTGATGTCTTTTTAGAATAACATTGTAACATCTCATGCTAACCGTACCATGTATTGTCCATTTTGTTCATGTCTAGACTCAAGGATTTAAAACACATCTATTGGTCATTAATCACTAATTAAGGAGGTCATACGCCCCTGGTCAATCTCTATAACCAAATATTTTTTTAACCTAAACTTATTAGTACCGCCCCCTACCAAGATATTCCTATCTAATACCGCCCCCATCACCAAAAAAGTTCAATTCACTAATTACCATTAATACATTAGGATTAACGTTATGATTATAAACCACAAGGATAGTGTTTGATTGGTTTGAGCTTGGCTCCAAATGTCAAAAGTACCTGGAGGTCCCAGGTTCAAATCCAAGAAGGAACAAAAATCCTCTTGTGGCCACGGAGGTTCAAATGCGGTGACTCCGGCCTACCTGCAAAGCTGGTGGTCGCCCTCGGATTAGTCGGCTCGCATAACAGGTTGGATATCCACGTTAATAAAAAAAAATGTTATGCTTATAACCCAAGATTTATAATTCGTGGGTTTGATTATGATATTTATGAACCGTAAATCTCGAACCCGTAATCACACTTATTCAAAAGAGTTGGAACGTTATGTGTCGTTTGTAATGCAGATGGTGAGACGAAATACGTGAAACACATAATCGATGTATTGGACAAGGAAAACATGGTGTACGCATACACGCTGATCGAAGGCGGGGAAGTGTCGATAGAGAAGATCGAGTCGATTTCTTACGAGATGAAGTTCGAGTCGGTGGCGAACGGAGGGTGCATCGGCAAGAAGACAAGCACGTATCATATGAAAGAGGGGTTTGAGATCAAAGAAGAGGAATTCAAGGAGCACAATGAGAAGGCTTTTGGTATCTTCAAAGGCATTGAAGCTTTCCTCTTGGAAAACCCTAATGCTTATGTCTAATTTCGTGATTTTGCATGTTACGGGTCGACAGCTAGACAACAAAAGTTTCGGTTTTTTGGAACATGGCTTTCTTAAATATGTATTTTTATTTGTCAAGATTTTTATATTTGTATTTTCTTGATGAAATATGAATAAAAATGCTTTGTATATTTAAAATAATTTGAATTTTTGGTAGGATATATTAAAATTTGTGAGTTGGCTCCAAAGGTCAAAAGTACCAGGAGGTCTCAGGTTCAAATCCAATGAGGAATAAAAATCTTTTTGTGGCCATGGAGGTTCAAATGCGATGACTACGGGCTATCTGCGATAGCCAAGCAGATGGTCGTTTTGGGATTAGTCAGCTCGCATAACGGGTTAGATATATCCAGGTTAATCAAAAAAAAAATTGTCAGTTGGAACACTTTGCAATACATGTGGTTAATGTTGTGTAGGTGTTTTTCATGTATCGTTTTAAAGTGAAACTTCCCTCCATCGTTAGAAGGATGTTGCATCTTTTACAGTGCTCATTTCTTTTTACATACGACAAAATTGCCAAATCATAAGTTTGTCAAACTGTGGTTTTTCGGAAGGCAATGACGTTTGGTAATCGGTTGAATGCCGTTTTGATGAATAAAAAGAAAAACGAGGTAAAAGAGATACAAAAATAGATAACAAATATTCGGTCAACTCAAGGTAATATCGTCGACCAATCACAACCCGCCACATGACATTTGAAAATTCGAAAAAGAAGTTATCGTTCAATCGTGTAATTGGTCCAAAACAATAGGTTCTTGAAAGCTCGGTCCATATCAGTCCACTTGTAACCGATCATTGATCAGTCAAACCCGGTCCTTGACTGGACCATTTGTGATGTGATGCAATGACACCAAAGTGGCTAAAAGTCTTTGATTTTTGTGTTACGAGGAATTGATCAAAATAGCTAATATTTTCAATTCAAAATTATTTTTTAGCCATTTTTGGCATCGAAATACTGTTCTATTCAAAGTTTACGTATTTGCATAAAGTGTATTTTCAGTTTAAAAAAAGAAAAAAAAATCTTTTTGCATCTGGGGATCCTTATACAATATTTTTTTTGTAAAAATCTTTTAAATCTAAAAAATAAGGTTTACGCAAATACCTCAAACTCCCGCTAAAACGTGAACTTAAAAAAAGGGCTAAAAAGTGAATTTGATTGAAAAGATTGGCTATTTTAGTCAATCTTCCTACTTTTCTTTAGATATTGTTTATAATGTTTATTAAAATCTAGATAGCGAACCACAAGGGTGGTGTCTGATTGGTTTGAGCTAGGCTCCAAGAGTCAAAAGTACCCGGGGGTCCCAGGTTCAAATCTAAGAAGAAACAAAAATCCATTTGTGGCCACAGAGGTTCAAATGTGGTGACTCCGAACTATCTACAAAGCAGTGGTCGTCTTAGGATTAGTCGGCTCGCATAACGGGTTGGATATCCAGGTTAATAGAAAAAAAATGTTTATTAAAATCTAGAAAGCAAATAGAAAAATATTCATAACTATCGCATAAAGCGAATAATGTCTATAGAAGTGTAAGCTTCTTGACATCTTCATGAAATCTAGAAAGCGAATAGAAAAATATTCATAACTACCGCATAAAGCGAATAATGTCTATAGAAGTGTAAGCTTCTTGACATCTTCATGTAAAACACCTACAAGAATACAACCTAAAAGAACGGTTACGCAATTCAAACAATTTTAAATTTGTCCGTTTATCTACTACGGTATCAGAATGAATATGATCTCCACCGGACATATGTACCGCATGGGTGCATTAGAACCCATGGTTATGGGACCGAATCTATTAGTACGGGCATTTCCTAAAGACAGGTCCCCAAATAACCACTTTACACCTTGGAAACAGTTAAACGAGGAATCTATAGTCACTTTATGCGTTACGTGTATACAAACCCCATACGCAAAAACCGACATTAACAAATATCATATACATGATAAATAATCCACACAAATTACAACATGTTTTTGTAAAAGAAAACATTTCTCAAACAAGATTCTTGTATTTTTCAACTATTAAAACACATTTAAATATTTTATTTTATTTTATTTAGGAAAAACAGAGAATAAATTTACTTCCAAGTTTAAATTTAATTTACTGATATAGTTTCATTTCTAAATTTAATTTAATTTTAGAGTTAACTTTATTTTAACTAATTATTGATATAGTTTTATTTCTAATTTAATTTAATTCTAGGGTTAACTTTATTTTAACTAATTATTGAGTTTTATTTCTAAATTCAAGTCTGAAGAGTTACACTTCAGAGTTATTTCAAGAATACAAGTCTAAAGTAGCATCGTACTTTCGATGAACATTTATATCTGTAAGATAAGTTCCTGACATGATTTAATTTTTTCAAATTACCCCGTGTAATACACAGAATCGAACCTTGTATTATATACATGATAAATAATCCACATAAATTACAACATATTTTTAACATTTTTCAAACAAGATTCTTGTATTTTTCAACTATTAAAACACATTTAAATAATTTAATTTAGGAAAAACAAAGAATAAATTAAACTGCTTTTCCCACACACAAACACAATATAGATTCTTTAGATGTCCCACACCCAATGCCTTTTATATATTCCTTCATGCACATCATCTTTTCTTCAACCTTTTTTCCCCCAATTTTTCACCATCACCATGCTTCCAGAATTAGAGGTATTTGTCTCTAAATCCATTTCAGAATATGCAAAATCTCTCCTTTTTTTCATCTTCTAAATTCTCATATTAATATGCAGAAACCTAATGTCACAGAGATACAAGTCCGAATCGACTGTAACGGTTGCGTTCACAAGATCAAGAAGGCCCTGCACCAAATCAACGGTCAGTATTTGTATGTTTTTTCTTGTAACTGTTGATGTCCGGGCCAGCTTGCATGCAACTCAACTGATCTCGTAAAACGCTAAAGATAAAGTCGTCTTTGGCGTTAGCGACCTATGGGAGGAGTTGTTTGGCTTTTATTTGTCGGTTGAGCTGGCCCTCGAGGTTAGGACCTTTGTATGTTTTTCGTTTTCTAGTTTGATTTGATGATCGGTTATGGGGTTTTTTTCAGGTATATATGATATCTATATTGACATCCCGCAACAGAAACTGACTGTAATAGGGTGGGCAGACCCTGAGAAGATCATTAAAGCTATCAAGAAGACGAGGAAAACAGCTACAATATGTTCGCATACAGCGGCAATGGAGTCAGAGTCGTCACCTGAAGATGGAGCACCAAGTTCTTATCCAGAAAATCATCCAGGAGAAGAAGGTCCGCCAACAGAACTGCCAGATCCGGTATCTACAGGATCTACAACATTCCAGCCACGACAATATACCGGATCAAAAGAGGTTGAAGAGGTTAATGTTGTATACCATCATCCACCAGACCATCAAGATAGTGTTGGTGTCTACGGTGGGTGGGTGGATCATTATCCCGGTGGCGGTGGTGGTGGCGGAGGCCATGGTGGTCCAGGATTCAAACACATGCTGCCACAACCTATCCATGTGAATCAGAGTTACAACAAATACAACCCCACACCTTATGTAACTGAATATGAATACATCCGTCCACCACCACATTACACGCCTTACAGCAAACCAGAGCCGCCTCCACCACCACGATACACCACTTATAGCTGGCCAGAACCACAACAGTACACACATTACAGCAGGCCAGAGCCACCACAGCAATACAGTCAACCGGAGCCACCACAGCATCACCGCCAGCCAGGGCCACCACAACATTACAGTCAGCCAGAATCATCACCACATCACCACCAGCAAGGGCCAGCACTACAACATTACAGCCAGCCAGGGTCTCCGCAACAGCAGAATCAAACAAATCCACCACAACAGCAAAGTCAGCCAAGGCCTCCGCAACATTACCGCCAGCCAGGGCCTCCACAACGTTACCGCCAGCCAGAGTCACCACAACGTTACCGACAGCCAGAGTCACCACAACGTTACCGCCAGCCAGAGTCACCACAACATTACCGCCAACGCAGCTGGCCAGAATTACAAGACCGCCCAGCACCACCACCACAATACACAGAGCACCACCACCCAGAACTGCCACAACACTACACACAGTACCACCGCCTAGAACCACCACAACCATACACACAGTACAACTTTCCAGAACCACCACAACAATACACACAACACGACAGAGTGGAACCATCATCGCTACACACATACTACAGCAGACTCGAGCCACCAGACCATATGCACTATAATGATGATTACCAAAATAGCAACATGAATGATGACATCACCTCAGCTTTCGGCGATGATGATCCAAATGGATGTAGAATTGTCTAAACGAAATGTTGGTTTCTCGTTTTCGTATAGAAAACGGCATCTTTTGCCCCCAACGACAATTTGCCTAACAAGTCAATGGAGAATAATAAAGCAATGGATTAACACCATACAGAAGAATGATATTCCCATAGAAGCAGGTGATGGTGATGGTGATGGTGAAGAAGATTCGTAGCTTGCAAGTGCAGGAAGAATACGTTCTCCATTCCTTTCTTTATCTCAAAATGCAACCTTAACGTATTAAAAAGGAATACGACTTCTATAAATGTAAAGGTTCTACCTAATGATGAATATATTTTATTATCTTCTGTAAGTCAATCAACCTCGATACCAGTTATGGGTCCCATCTCCGTTTGTTTCACTTGTTTTACTTTATTTTCATTTTTTGTTCACCGAAAGTCATTTGCATTTCTGTCCTATAGACCTCATATAACTTGCTACCTCAAAGTCGAGACGTACAAATATGTCCGTCCGTTAGTCAAATACTAAAATACCTTGTCTAAAAGCAAGAGAATTTTGCAATAAAATGAGATGGTAACTATGAGAATATGTGAAACCCTATTACATTACTCTCCAAAAGATCCCTTCAAGAGAGAAGTAAGATTTCAACATACAACGAGAATAGGTCCATATGGTGACTATGTAACACGTCCCTCCAACCAAGGCTAGACGGACAGAGATTGCCCCAGAGTGGTAAACAATGGCTCTGATACCACGTAGAAATATGTAAAACCCCATTAGATTACTCTCCAAAAGAACTCTTCAGAAGAGAAGGGAGGTTCCAACAAATATTGAGAAGAATAGGTCCAAGCGTAGCCGATGTGGGACTCTAACAATAATAATGGACAAACAAGTAATTGAGCATGCAACAACCGAAAATGGATATGTTGCCGTTGCTATGGCACAGACAAGTATTTAATAAGCGAAAAATGTAGCCATAGGATGTGATTACTTTATCACATGATGAGAGAAAAGGTTATGTCAAGAAATCGCTTGCCACTTTTTTCTCTAGCATCAATAAGGCCAAAAGAAATCCAGGTAACTGCTACTTAGAACACATCGATCCTAACCGATCATTTCTTAGTTCGGTCCAGTCCTAACTGGCTGGGGGCACAAATATAGACTGCTGGTCCTTATAATGGAACAGGATTTTAACTTGGTCACTGAGCAAATCAGAAACCAAACAAATTATAAAAAGAAAGGCAAATGTTATGGAAATAAAAGAAGAATGATCAATACATATTAAACTAATGAACTGCAGCCATGAGTACTAAATGAAACAAAAAATAAAACAAAGTATGCGGAATAGTAAAAAGAGCACGACTTTCCCTTTTTCAGTAAATGTAGCTATAAGACCAGTTACATGAACTCAAGAAGACATTGCCAAGAAAGGGGCAAGTGCTCAATCGAGCACACAGCTACAGTGTTCTATCTCAAACATGACGGAAGAAAATTTAGGCACCAAACTCACATATTGTGTAGGCAAAAAAACTGGAGGCTCATTTAGAACGTGCCCTAATTAACTTAGGATTTAATGATGATGGAAAGATTTCTAAATTACTAAGATACCTCCAAAATATCATTTCTTTATAGGAAAATGATATGAAATAAAGAAAACAAAGCCTATGTTTTTTGTCTGAAACTGACCTAGTTATTGTCATCACTAGTATTTTCAGATGATTCATCTTCTTCATCATAAAGTAATTCTTCTTCATCTTCAACTTCACTTTCTTCCTCTTCTTGTTTCAAAATTTGACTTTTGTCAGCCGCCTTATTGATCTGCTAAGAATTGGGTAACAAATTAACATGAAAACATGAATAGATTACACATAAGTTTTATTTCTGGCTTTTAAAGACAGTAACCTGAGCTGTTACTAGTTGCAAGCGTCCTGACAACTGCAGTAAAGACTGAATGACCTCACTTTTTGACTTTGAAAGCTGCAAAGGATTAAAAAAACGTTCAAAAATGTTAATTTGAAACCACCCCTGAACAGATTCACTTTGTATTGGCTTATGATTCACATTTAATTACGTTTTACCCCAGTATGTTATCTTCATTAAATCTGCTTTTTCTGATTTAGTTCATACATAACATAAGCATTTTTTGTATAGTCCCCCAAGAACACAACCACATTCTGATATATCAAAATCCGTCCATACTCAAGAAGAATGCAACTTCCAATTATGCAAGTAATACTGCAACACTTGATATTCCGGGTACCACGTGCATGAACAAGGTTATGTGCTTTAGTCATAATATCATATATGGGAGATAAAAAGGCAATATATATACTAGAAGTAACAAGATATAGGAAAGTGCATTGTATTACAATGTATTAGATAAAGGCACTTCCTAAAACAAATTGGCAAAGGACATCAAATAATGGATGGAGATACAGGATCACAATTATTCTAACACGTGCTCAATATTTCAATACCTTGTACAATGAATCTAGTAGTCGTGATGCAGGTTCTTGAGATTTCACATAGTCACTGTGATTCACTAATAAGCAGCAGACCCATGGAAGAATGTATTGCCCATCTAATGATCTGTGACAAAATATGTCGCACCGAATTAAAGCACCGCATTCATTCAAACAGGGGATCCGGGGGGATTCAGAAACAAAAGGATTCAGTAGAATGAGAGCAACTCACCTTGATTGCCACATGCCCAACAATACTTCCAACAACATAAAGGCATCACTGGGTATCATAGATTGAACAGCTACTCTCATCTGTTGTTAAAAACTTGGTCAAAATAGACATATGGAAAGGTGGACAGATGTGGAATAAATAACAATGGGAGAGTGGGCTGTATACAAAGATGTGAATGCATAAAAACCTGTTTTTGTGATACGTTAGCTTCAAGATTGAAACCCTTCAAAAGCTTGGATAATAGCATCGTGTTAGATGTAAGGTCATCATCGTTGCTGAGGATGCCTTCAGCTCTTAACTGATCTTCCAGGCATATGGTAACTTGATCCGCTTCAGCGTCATCTAATCATAAGAACATGTCAAGGAATAAGGTTGAGTAAGGGATAATAGACATTGGTTCATAAAAAGGAAACAAAAAGAAAAGTATAACCATATAAACAGAACAGCATAGAGAGAAAGACATATCACCAATTAGAGTTGATAATATGATACAAGATGAAGTGGTGGGGAAGGAGAAGCAAACAAGTATATGACTCAAGTTAAACAATGCAGCATTTACCCAAAGCAATGACGCATAACAGGATAACTGACAATGCAAATATATACTATCATAACATGAAAGAACATTTTATACAATGTATCACAAGTTTCTGGTCTTGTATGAAAATGATTAGATAGACCCAACCAAGCCTCAAACCTTACTTGCACAAGAAACTATCATAATCCCCCCAAATCCCCAGTTTCCAGTAACTATCATATTAGATTCTTTTATCCTTATAATACCTAGACCCCCTCCACTTATTCCTCCTAGCATAAGTATATCGGACTGAATGTTTAGCACTCTAATATGAAGTGTTATCTAGATGGCAGTGGCACCTTACACCTGCGTCTGGGACACAGCGATATTCCTAAGCAATGATGGTCGTGGGACTGCTAAATTTGATGGCAATGGCACAGCCTTCCTTGCACAAGTTTTAGGTTTAGAAACTGATGCATGGCATGAAGGTTCAGAAAAGTTATCGCCTCATGGAGTTTAGGTGATGACTGTGCATCAAGCCTAGCAGCACTAAATAAATTTGATGGTAGAATATCCGATTTCTGGAACCAAAAATCCTCTGAGAAGTCTAACGAAAAAACATGTAGCACCTTATATAAGTGTCGTAATACGTTTTTCCTCGAGGTTTTATGAATAAAAAATGGTCGATTGGGGGCCTTGATTTTATTATTCTAGCCTTTGACTTCTGTCTGTTATTTATCTTATCTCTACCAACTTCCTCTTGTCATGATTAAAAGGATTGTCTCATTCTCTCCCTCCTACAACAGGGTACAGCTTCTGTTGATTTGCAGTATGACTCGTGAGTTCCTTGTTGCAATGCTAATGTTGTTATTATTTTGATCACATGAATGACCATACACATATGGAAGATGCAGTTGTTTCAGATGGAAGTCCTTAGCATGGCTAGAGATTAGAGAAGTGAAAAAAAACCCTCGTCCTTACATAACAACCAAATAATCTCTCCAAATAATTAACGAAGCATACAAAGATTTCGACTAAAAACATCATTCACATAAAAAACAATATGATACCTTTAGTTGATGAAGGCATGGCTCTGCTTTCGGCATCAACAACATTAAAAATCTTGGTAACTGGAAGCAAGGCGCCTTCAGTATTTGCACGGTCTAAAGCTGTAACTGTTTAAATTAAAAGGTTGTTAGTAAATTACACAAATTCGGGAGAACAAAAACTCATTATTATGAGCTGATGAGAAGCTGAATGATGACAAGAACACTATGTTGTCAAAGAATGGGATTATGGGAGCAAGTAATATGATTACATATTTACATGATTAAAACCTTAATGGGAATGCCAACTCGACAAGTTGGAAAATACAATGGTCGTTTGAAAGGATAACACAACCACTTCATATAACGCAATCACCTAATACAATATCTAACACTGTAGTAAAGCAAGAAATTCAACATTTTGAAACATTTCTTGGCAATTAACAAACTTTCTTGTTTGCATGAGACAAGAAAACATTTTGGCCATAAACCAGGAGCCAATTCTAGGCCTGTTAGCTAATTCTTGGTTGGAAAGCTAGTGAAATGTAATAGGACAAATATGGCACTAGAATTACAAAGACGATGAATGACTGTAACCTAAAATCATAAAAATATGTGAAGAAATCATAATATTATTTGTGTGTGCATCTACTATAACAGTTGCAAATATAGGATTTCCGGAGTACTTAAATGCCAAATACATGCACTAGACATGCATGGCAGAATTATAATCTTTTTTGGTCATATTTTCAAATGTAAACCATGGATGGAAGTACAGTCGTAGCTATGTCTATTCAGCGGCATCACTTTCTGCTCAGGTTTTTGAATTGAAAAGGTAAATAACAGCAGAACATACATTCTGACATTCTATATAATATTGGGGACATGTCCTCATCTGCTAACCCTAACCAAGCAAGGTAACATGTAATTATTTATACAAGATTACAACATTTATAAGGATTTTTAAGCATACAAGCTGTGAAAAATTTTAAATGATCTCATACATATAGAGGAACAGACAAAACACCTTTGGGATTAAAGATCTGACTTCTAACAATAGTGTGGCACGTAGGTGAGTTAAAAGAAGCATGATGAAGTAGTTACTGAAAGAGAAAAAGGCAACTTACTGTGATTCTGGTTTTCGAACCCTTTTTTGGACTTTTGAGACTGGGTCAGAGGTAAAAGAATTCCATCCATGGAACTGGTTAGCTTTACGTCTGTACCACACTGTATTGAGATTTTCTCAAAGGATGGCTTTATCAGCAAACCATGGGCAAGAAAAACATGCCCAGTCACAGGCTTGGAAAAATTCTGTAATTTTCCAGAGAATATGGTAGGGACTGCACCCTTGTAATTCTTCGAAAGACTGTCCTCCGTAGATACTGTGACTTTTGTGGACTTGGAATTGTGCAATTCCTTAATATTTGCTCCACTCCATAAGTAACAAACACCCATTTCTGATATGGCAAGTACAGATAGACCTGAGTTGGCTACACCTGCAGTGCCTATGCACTTGCTATCTATAAAGATGGCAGGATGGTCCATTGCAAGAACACAGCAAGCTGATTTCTTTTTGCTGCCATCTACTTCCCAAACTGCAACATATCGCTCGCCAACAGCAGATGAAAGTACATACTTACCATCATCAGAGAAGGTCATACACCGAACTGCCCCCTATTAGGAAATATGGAATTAAGCAGAAAGCAAGAAAAACAGAAGTGGATATGCATTTATTAATGCCAAGAAGACAGAAAAAGTAAATGAACTTACAGGATGCCCAGAAAATTTCTGCATCTTTTTGTGGTCCGAACAACTAAAAATCTTTAATTGAGCTGCTGCCGTTGCTAAAAGCTTCCCATCTGATGTTTAAGATTAACCATCATCAAAGATGTAGTACCAGAAAGGTACGATATAACAGAAATCAAAGCAGTACACGAAATTCTCAAACCAAATAAACCACGCATGAACCTTTTTAAAAACTAGCAAGTTCGATAATTAGTGTAAACAAAAAGATTTCAAAGCAAGAGTTAAACATGATTTGAAATCATTAATGACAGTAATGTCAAATTGATAAATGATATCAATTGTTAACAACTTAACATATGTAACCTCGTACAGGAAAAAACTCCGGTTCATTATTAATCTGTAAAATCAAGATACTTAGATGGTCTTTATCTATGATCTGTAAAAGGATAAATAGGGAAAGATAAACAGAACACCACTCTGCCCTTTGAAAGAAAGTATGAACGCAGCAGCTATTTTTGTCCCAAGTTCCACACTGGTATCCATTAGGGTTTGAACTCACAAGAATGTTTCCATCAAGAATGCTACTTCCTCCTCTCTTTACAAGACTAGTGGGACATGAAACATATAATAGCTTTAGCATAGTATAAGATATTAACATCTGATGGCATGTTTAAGTTTCTCTAGAATTTCTTAAGACATTGAATGGAATGACAAATCTATCGTCTTTCGTCTATGACACAAGGTGCAAGCAACAACTATGCTAGAGACCTATTTGGTGCTTGTAGTAGCGGGCATATATGCGTGTGTATGTGATCCTCAGCTGAGTTGTTTGGCGCTTGTATTAAATATAAACAGTCAAGTGTACATACATCTCAAACAATTGAAACGAAGTGGGGGGAGGGGGTTCACATGATTGGAGTTTGAACATTATGTTTGATTTAATATCCTGCTCAAAACCATATATGACTCGCAAAGAATTCATCGCTCATTTCGTGTTGATGAGGGGATACACGAAACATATGATACTCATGTACACCAAATGAAAAGAAACATATGATACTCATGTACACCAAATGAAAGGTGACCTTCAGTAAAGATCCCAAAACCATTATGGCAAAAGAGGTGCTTAACAAACTTAATCACAGATTTACAATCTTATCAGCCTCGAACAAGTCAAGACAAAAACTTTGGAGTTTGTTATGACCTATCAATATAATATGAAACCTAAATATATCAATATAATATGAAACCTAAATACCTATTTGCACAGACATCAAGCATGGTGGCACAACCATTATAGCATCTATTATGAGATTTGAGTATTGACAAATGATGCATAAAATGGATTGGTCCACTGATATAGACCCATAAATATTTCTGATGTTACCATAATCTAGGAAGCAAAAAAAAAAGCCAAACTGGAACTTACTTTACAAGTATCTAAATATTAGTGATCATATATATTATAAAATAATACAGTATGTATGGTCTAGTTGGTTAATAACTTCCCTTCCAACTACAAAACCTAACAAGCTGTGTTTCTTCCGCACTAAAATAGAGCAATATGTACCTGATGAAACGGACATTGAAGATATAGCTTTCGCAGAGGCTCTAAATTTGCCCAACAAGTTCCCTGTCATAGAATCAAGTTCACATATCATCCCATCAACACCAGCCGTATATACACATGATCCATTTGTAGGAGAAGAGATGGCAGTGACACCCCTGCACGTTGTTATGAAAAATGAGATTTTGACAGCAATAAAAGTAGATTTCGCTTGTGGGTCTTGCAAAATATTGATCCACATCAAGATCTATAAAAAACAATAGCACCATCGGTACTCTCAGTTTCTAAGAACGGTTGTTATGAACTGAAATCCTGATGTTAACTTCAATCACATGCAATCTTCATAAGGAGCCTCACATGGTTACATAAGCTTGTTGTCGATAGGCATGAGTGCATGTATGTTAAAAATATAATTTATGAATATGTTCTTGGAGAAACTACAATGGATTCACATGACTTAAAGTTAATTGCAATGAATCATAAATTTGGTCTCTCACACAGCTATGACAACCTAAAGCATCATGATCTGCAGACACTTGGCCTAAGTTTATCAAGTCTATTGCGAAAGATGAGAAAAACCTGAATACGAATGCAAGATCTTTATCAAGCAACTTGACATGCAAAGGAAAATAAATTTGGGACTCACCCAGGATGGCAATCACTAACCCTCCACTTTGATTGACCAGCAGAGACATCCAAAGCTAGAACATCACCACCCCCAGTTCCTAAAATAAGCAACGAACTTCGAAGCTTCCTTTTTTTCTGATCATACATAGTCCATGTAGTCAGTAAGGGTATATTTCATATGCTAGGCAATATATAACTAAAACACCTCCCTGACTTTTGTGTAGTAACTAAACCATTTGAATCAAAAAATAGAGATCGAAAATACAGTAAACCTTTTTCTCCAAGGATAGCCATTTCATGCAAGTATAATCAACTGACAGGTGTCCACCTTCAGGTTTAGCGAAAAAGTCCGTTTCATCAGTTGACACTATATTTGCAAAGTCCGTCTGCACCTGGCCCTTAATAGTGTCCCATATCTGAAGAAAAATCAAACAAGCAAGTAAGCAACATATCATATGCCCAAAACCCCCCAATCCCCTATTGGAACATCTGTTCAACTAAAAGCACATTAAAGGATACTAAAGATTTCTCACATCAACCTATGCAGCCAGCTTGTAACATGTTGGACAAACAAAATAAACAATGGATATAAAGTAGGACATTCTTGAATGTAGATAAATTAAAGCACGGTTATTGTAGCCTGCTTAAGAAAACTAACCAGCTAAACTGCTATGGTATATCTTTTTATGATATGCAATTAATTTTGCTTCAATTAGGACAAAACGTAAACAAAAACTCCATCCGTGATGCAGTAATTGCAGGCGATATCCACTCCAGAAACAATTGAATCCATCAATAATTAAAACAAAAAGGAACCAAGTCTAACAAATTTCAACCGTCTTACTGAATATAATTCATATACCTTCAACTGACCGTTAACAGTGTTGTCCACTCCATTCACAAAGAACAACAAACTTTACTCAAGCTTGTCATGTGTATTTTAGTTTTGCAAATTTGATATCAATATTACTCTATTTGCAATACTTGCAGCACAGTTTAATGTTGTTATCGATTTTCCGAAAAAGATAATAATGCACAACATTTATGCAGTTGAAAAGTAGTCGGTTCCACATTCAAGGTCATGTATGCACTCTTTCCACTGAAGTCCTACAGTTGACGAAAATGTTCAAAATCATACCTTAATTCGACCGTCGCCGGAACTGATAGCAAGGAAATCCAACGATGGACTGAACGAAGTTAATACGTCTCTGATATTTGCTGGCTCCATTATAACTGCGTATACCTTCAATAACGGAAGTTCAACAAATCAAAACCGCAAAAAACACTCAACGAATATATGTATTCACATGGTGCCACGCAGAAAATTAGACATACCAGTTCTGAGAAAAACAGAAGACGACGGCGATAATAGGGATGTGAAGGAGTAAAGCAGCGGCGTCGGTGAGGTGCAGCGGTGGCCCTTTTTTCTTCTTTTCTTCTTCTTCCCTGTTCGTGCTAAGGAACCAGCGGCGCCTTAAGCTCGTTATGAAGTGGTTCGAAAAAGCAACCCTCTTGGTTATGTTCAATTTGACCCTTGTAGTTCGGTTTATTTTCAAAAGTGGCATTTTTTCAAAAATTTATTACAGAAATATATCACATTCCTTGATAAATTGTCAAGTAGTTGAGTCCATTCAATATGGCAAAATAAATAAATGTATATACAGTTGGGTTCCGGTAAGAATGAGGATTAAGATGAGAAGTGTAAGAAGGGATCGCCACCTTTGGATGTATATTAGGATAAAATGCACCGAGATGTACCGAATCAATTTCCGTATCAAGCGTGATTCATGAGTGGGTTTGAGATTAAATGCAATCAAAGGTTCAGATCCCTTCTTACACTTCTCACCTTGACTTTTCTTCTCACACGATCATTCGCCTATATATGTGTGTGTTTGTGTGTGTATAGTGATAGGTTATTTCGAAAAATGGTAAACATTTGAGAAATTAAGAAGAGATTCTAGCCCTTCATAGTTCATACGGTCAATATCAGATTTGACTAGTCAATAATTGCGGCTTTTACTAGATCAAAAATTGCGGCTATGTCAAAACTATATATGATAGTTTTATAGCTTTTATAAATGGACAGTAAACGGGTTCATATATGAATTCGTGTGATTCAAATGTGTGAACCCAATGTAATTCACATATGAACTCGTGAGATTCATATATGAACTAACTAATGGGTGTACGTATGAACATATAGTTCATATGTGAATCAGACAGATTCACACATGAATCCATTTGCCTCCTATATGTAAAAATTATGAAACTACCCATCTATCTTCTGCATACTCATGCAATGAATTATCTGGTGTTTCATAGTCAAAGTCGCAAACGTAAACAAGATCAAGGGTTATGATCACTTATTTACTTCTCAAATACTTGTCACTTCTTAAATAAACATTTCCTTGTGTGTGTGTATATATATATATATATACATATATATAGTTGGGTTCCATGTGAAAAGGAAGTTACGATGAGAAGCGTAAGAAAATATTTCTACTTCTACCCTTTGATCAATCATAATTGAACGTCAACACTAATGAGATGCACCGAGATGAATCGGATCAATTCTCTTATAAAGCATAATTCATAGGTGGACATGAGAATAAAAATGATCAAAGATTCATATCTCTTCTTACGTCTCTCTCAGACGATTATTCGTCTATATACATATATATATATATATATATATACACACTATATTATAATGCATTTGGCTAAAACTCTTAAAAACTCTTAAACCCTTCCCATATCTGAATTCGTGTAACTAACTGCAGATAAACACAA